TGTTATTAATACTATTTTTGAATTTTTATGTGACATTATAGTGACATCTTTTTCCTAACTAACCCTTTATTTATTCTTTCTACCAATTACATAATTTATCTTGGATACTTGTCTCCATGCTTTTTCATTAACATCCTATTTTCCTGGGTGTCTTTCATATCACATAACCTTAGTCTAAACATACTAATCTCTATCCCTCCAGTTACTGTTCGGTTATTCATTACATTCTTTTTTGAAATATGTTGATAACGTGAACAGCAAAAACCCTAAATAATTTTTATTCTTGTCTGACAAAGCTAATGTACACAGACATACAATAATAATTGTTTATAACTGCGATTGTCCAGCTAAGTGAATGAATTTGCCTCCGAAAAGAGACTATTCGCTGAAATATTCGTTCTTATATTCATGTCTGGATGGGTATTTTTCGTGGACATTTTAATTCGCCAGAATCGAGAGCATGAATCCGCAGAAAAAACCATTCAGTCAATATACTCAAGGCATTCTTGTCAACTTCCCCTATATATATATATATATATATATATATATATATATATATATGGCACTACTGTTACTGGTATAACCTCGAGATAATTGAAACGCCACGTAGAAGTAGTAATGTGGCGTATACTACTGACAAGTTTTATAAGTAGGATATAGATATAGATATAAATATGTATAAATAATCTACAAGAATATTGAACAGAACAGAGATGGAAGACAAGAAATGAACAATGCTTATGATACAAAGTGGTAAACATGAAATGAAGATAACAGTAGTACAATACCGAGTATATGTGCGAATCGTGAATCGAATAATACATATTGTAGATGCATTATGCATGTCAAAGCCAGAATCGGAAAGGCGAGGTACACCTTCATCAACCCGAAGTCATTTTGGAAATCTTCTGCACTTCAACCCAGCATAAGTAACAAGATTCGGATTCCATTCAACACAAATATAAAGTCAGCCAGTCAGTCAGTGTTTCTATATGGGACAGAAGCTCGCACTACATGTGTATCACGGAAAGCATTTCCAACAAGTCACTGCAGACCTTCAACTATCAACAGCTTCCCACTTCTCTGGCTGTCTCCATACTGAAGATCCAATAGCCGGCCAACCCACCAGAAAGAATTAACAGCAAGATACTCTTGCAATGAACAAATCAACCAAGAGCCGATTGCTCAACAGACATGTAGGACAAAATGGAGATTGACTGATTGATCAGGCATGCTTTGAGCAGACAGTTGGATGACATCGCACGCAATGCAGACCATCCGTCGCTCGAGTGGGAGGCGAATGGGAAACGACGAATGGGTGGTGTGTGCTGTGGTGGCAAGGATGAGATCGTAGAAGTTGGAGAAGATGAGAGAATATGGGAAACCGTGTGGACAGATGAAGAGGACAGTAGAAAACTAAATAAAATTGGGATGTGTTGTTGAAGCCAGCCCTATATTCCACACAGAACACAAGGGGACAACAATAATAAAGTAGACGTATTTTGCATGTATCTATGCATCCAGTTACGAGTAAATAATTCCGTTTTCGAATATTCTTGTGTTCTGTCACCCTTACGTTAAGTAGCGGTTGGCTTTAAAAGTGCTATGTGAAAGCTTACTCTGATTGTAGATTTCATTCGGCAGTGTGTGATTTTTATATGACATATGTATATATCAGTAAGATTTAACGTTGAAAAATCACTTCTGATAGTTTCAAAACTTCATAAAGTTTGTTCTAAAGTTATCTACAAACAAAAAGTTATCTAAAGGAAAAGGTGTTCAGAGAGGAATTACTCCTGTTTTCAGCGATATCATTCTCAAACTGTACAATCGCATATATGCATACATATATAATAAATTGTCTTAGCAACGAAAGTAATATTTCCAAGAATGTGTCATTAGAACTGAAAATTGTTTTAGATAATGAACTGCATAATGTTGAAAGCGCTAATCGGGTAGAAAATAAAATAAGATAAGCAATTTGAGTGACATAATCCAATTGACAGGGTTGAGTAAAATCCAACTAAAATTTCAACTAGAGTCAAGTTAACAACAATGGTGGCAATAAGAGGTGGAGATTTAATAAGGGGTAGGTAAGAAAACGTTACATAATTAAGAAACAAACAAGCAAAAAAGACGCGTTAACACAGATCAGGTCTACTGTATATTTAATGAGTGAACAAACTTCTTCTTTTGTGTGCAGAGTTCAGGTTTGAACATGTGAATTGCCATTGCTTCTGCGGTTTGAAGAAGTTTGATTCTTACCTCTGTAAGCAAGATTCCCACGTATTCTGTAGATAACTTCTAGGTTGACTTATGGTTTATCTCGGTGTTCTGATTGGATCAGGCGTTCCAGGATAGACCTGGGGCGGCATGGGGGATCTTTCTTCTCCTTTATAGAACTATGACTGTAGGTATGTGTTCGATAGTATGTTTGGGTAGCAAACGCTGGGTATGGCCGACACACCTAGCTCTCTATGAGAAGATAAATGGAAAGATAAACATTGATAAGGCCAACAGCGGTTAGTTTTCCTTCACGTTCATGTGAATCACTGGTTTTGTAGTGAAGGTTAGTTGGAGTTCAGCCGCGAAGAGTATTTTCTTCAGTGAGCGGGACAGGAGTTTCCTCATTATTTCTGCTGGAGAGTATCAGTTGAATTGTAGATTCAGGTAGTCACGTGAGTGGATTTGGTGGTTTAGGTTTCATAGATTCTGTGATGGAACGTTCTTGATAGCCAATTTCCAGGAAGATTCTTTTCAGATTGTTTAGCTCCTCCACCATAGTGTTAGGAGAATTCTGTGACTCAATGAACTGACCAGGTTTCGTTTTTTATGTAAAGGCAGCCAACTACTATGGAAGTTAACGAGTTGTCCGTTCCATGTCGGCTTTCTACAGACGGATCTTTTTAGTGTTCCATATTGTTCATGTCTTGTTAACTGAACGTCCAGAAAAGATATTTTTGCGTCTGACTTCTTCTCTGAATCGCAGGATAGCAGCTGTTGAAGAAGTCCAGGGTGTTCTGCAAATTCTCCTCATTGTTGAAGATAATGAAAGTATCGTCCGCGTATCTCTTGTAAAACCCAAAGTTGTCAATCATTTTCTTTAGATGTGTGTTTTCTAGTTTTGACATGAAAAAGTCTTCAAGTAATGGCCAAGTGATGAGCCAATAGCTGTACCATCTTTTTGTCGATATAATTTGTTATTGAGAGAGAAATGGACGTTTAGGGTACATCTCAATAGGAGTTCTTTAAGATATTCAGTGGTTATACCAATCTTCATCCCTCTGAATCAATATTTACACGTATATAGTATATTGTTTCAGTTAGTGGGATATTCGTAAACACTTATACTATATCCAATGAGAACATGGTTTGATTAGAAATACTGACGATTTTAATGTAATTGACAAAATCGAAAGAATCTAGGAGTGATTGGAAGGAAATTTGCCTTGTGACTGGTTCTAGTAGGTCCACTAGTCATCGGGCAGTGCGGTGATACGGTGAATTAGTCATATTTAGGATGGGTCATTATTGCCATTTCATCTAGAAAAAGGTGTGATACTGAATGTGAATTAATAAACTGAACGGTAACAGATAAAAGCTGAGATCACACTATAGAGGTAGATCATTGACCTGCTTATATCATTATTATTATTGTTTCCTTTAGTTTCTAGAGGAACATAGGGTTTCAGCCCCAACGTCTCCATTGCGTTCAGTCCTCCGCCAACGTTTTCACCTGGCTCCACGTCTGCTGACATGCTTTCATCTCCTCTTCGTAAGAACTCCTCCTCCATGTCAACCTCGCACTGATGGCCAACTAACTCGCTGCCTCCCATTTGGGTTCCACTCCAGAGCTTTGCGTGTGATGTCACTTATTTGATGGTTTTCTCAAAGTATGTCCAATCCAATCCACCTCTATGTCTTTCCACATATTTGTTGCACAGTTTGTTCCTGCTGAGTTGGGTTGGTTCTTCGGTTCATTGCCAGAGATCCCTGATCTGATCTTTCTGGTCCGCTATCTGATCCTGAGCGAATAATTGAGCGAAGACAACTGCTAATGAGGGGGGGGTTGAAGTTTGTTCGAAGTACCCTTCGTGACGAGACGTGGTGCGGCGCCAAGTCTCTGATCCGCATAACAGCACTGACTCCTTATCAGTTCCGTCCACCTGTGGTTGGAACGATGCTTGCAAGGTAGGTCAGTAGGTAGGTAAAGGAGGTTGCTTCTCTCTCAGATACCCCCCATTTATGTTGACGGTTGTTGTTAACCAGGAATCTTCATCACCTCTGTTTTTTATATGTTCACCTGAAGTCCTATCTTTGATGCTTCTTCTGCCAACTTGTTGCTTTTCACTTGCATATCTTCCAATTTGTGGGAAATCAGACATATATCATCGGCGAAGTCCAGATCCTCCAAGTTCTTTGTGTGAGTCCATTTTATGTCTGTCTCCTCGTTGCCCGCTGTCTGTCGCATTGCCCAGTCAACCGCGATCAGGAAAATCATTGGATATAGTAGTAGGCAGCCAGCTTGTCTAACTCCCGTTTCCACTTCAAAGGATGCCGTGAGTTTCTCGTTGTAGATTACTTGGCATTCAGCATTATCGTAAAACAATGTCTACTATTATTGTTATTATTATTAAACCCTGTAAAAATGCACACACTGAAATGTAGTTGAATTTACGTAATTCATAACTACCTGCCTACGACTTCAAAATCGATCATATATATGCCTGCACAGTATTTTGAATTTCTGGTTCAAGGTTGAGGAGAATGTGATTTGTTTGTTCTCCAGAGCATGGTTATTGGCTGAAATGCGATCAGACAGTTTTTTGTAAGCGTCAACTGATTGGTCGATCTTTTTAATTCCCTTGAATTTATGTTTTCAATCAGCCATTCATATATTTCGAATTATTAAAACAAACCAAAAATGGATTTCTTTCGCTTATGATTGGTAGTTAATATTTTTGTTGTTATTATTATCACCATTATTATTATTAATACTACTACTACTACTACTTTTATCACTAACATCATCTTCTTTGTGTATTCATGTTCCTGTGAAACGGATTGTACTCACTTCTTTTTTCCTAAAATATCTAGTTTGTGTACATAGTAATGGCATGTTTGATAAGAACTGTTTTTCCCAAAAAAGGGGACAATCCAACAGCTGGATCACAATCATCTAATGTCGACAATGATATACCCTTGGAGGAGATCCCAATGGAAGAGGTGAGCACTTTTTGTTTTGTTATAAATTTGAAGAAATTTACGAATCTCCATCTTTCTCTCTCTGTGTGTCTCTCTTGTTGACACAGGGAATGTATATATAACATTCCATGGTAAACCACAGTCCAGTTGCCTTAGTATAGCGTAAGGACTGCTTTTTACTCTTGATAGACTAAACAGTCACCAATTGCTTAAAATATACTCATACTCAAAGTCACCTTTTCCTAGCTAGTCTTGTTAGAATAGGTTATTCGGTGTAAGTTTTCCTCTAGATTCCAGATTACTATGGTTGCAGAGTTGTGTAGAACAACTACCGTTGGCTATATATATATATATATATATATATATATATGAATAAATTTTACTTTATATTACTTTGCATGTGGTTCGAGGTTTGATTCTCGGCTGATGTATTCATAAATCTTGCTTCTTAGTTAGTAAGTTCTTTCAAGAGTGGAGGTTGGCTGAAGTGAGGCAAGCGTCTTCAATTGCTAAGATATTAAACACTACTTCTACTCAAACTTCGAAGCTGAAAACTTTAAGTCCCCCTATGTTCCAGTTGGAAAGTGGGGGGGGGGACTGGTTAGCCGGATTCGGCTGCATTCTCAGTGAGTAACGATATTCTCATTGAGATTCGTACCCAGTACTCCTACATTTTAAACGCCAAAGTGTTCTTCCCTTGACCCCCAGTGACTAGATGTTTGGCACCATGGGTACCGAGACCTAGTCTAAGTGGACACACCACCAATCACTCACTCACGGTGGGAGAAGGTGCTAGGCATATCTCACTGAGAAGCTTCAAATAGGACGAAATAAGCATTATCCTGGATTCTATTTCTAATCATCACTCACCAAAATGTTTTTTATTCCTTCACTTTCCTAGTGGAACATAGGGCCTCAGGCTAGAGGCTTGAAGTTTCTGTAGCAGAGTTCATTTTTACGGGATGGGTTTGCTAGACTCATGCCCAACCTTCCCTCTTTACCAGTCTTATTACTGGCTTAGCCAGGTAAAGGAGTGCGTCGGCCGGGGATCGAACCTTGGACCATTTGCATGGTCGGCGAGCGTCTTCCCGCTGTGCCACCGACGGACTTACCAAAATTACTTCAAGTTAATCCTCAGACATCGTCAAATCATCCGTACTAACAGCCGAGAAGTCAACAGATGCCGAAATTTAATTAAAAACAATTAATATTACAGATTGTCAACACATGTAACTATTATATCCAAGTGTTTCAACTATCAATTAATGATAATAATAATAATAACGACGAAATCTGTGCATAGTTTACAGATTTCTTAGCTCAACTCATCTGAATAACACTTTCAATTCATCCAGCATTTTTATATCAAATAGTAATCAGTCTACAGTGTATCATGGGACGATGAGATGCTGTTCTTTGCTGAAGCATCAATAGGCTAACTGATTCCTTATGATATTTTACTATCCTCTCCATAAAATGAACACAGCTGTAATCAATTAATCAAATCAGCATAAACAAACAGTTGATTATCCATGTCGTGCTCACTAGCGACTGGCTCTATTCACGTAGGTAGTTTCCTGGGTTCTTGTGAGAAGTCATGACTGGTGGGGTACATCAGGTAGGGTGTGAGTCAAATACACGCCACTGATGACATTGGCTGGTACCAGTCACTCTATGTCGTGAACTCGTAGAAGTTGGAATTCATGGGCTGGCTATTGGGTCGGTGGATCATAGTGTTTTAATGGTCTACAAGCTTGATTTGTAATCAGAAGGCCTTGATTTCGAACCTCAGTAGGATGGGTACATACTAGGACGCCAGAGACAGCTGTCCAGTACACCTAGCTAGTTTTCCTATTGTTGTCTAGCCGATATCAAACCATGATGAAATCCTGTAACCAATCAAATCCGCACTAACTAATACCTGAATCAAGAATGTACTTGAGTACAGTTTCGCGACGCTGGATGGTTGAAAAACGATAAGAATTAAGTGAAGTATAATTTTTCACACATTTATTTCCCCTATATGAATTTGAATAAGGGCAGAAACAACACTGATTTGCGCCTAATGCCATGATAACACCATTGCTTATTTCATCGGCTTCTCATCAGCGGCACATGGCCGAATAGAAATTATCAACCGTTATGCACAGGACAATTTTAACACAATTCCACATTTTACATAATATCAGTTAGTCAAAGAAGACTCCAAACTTAATAAACAGTCCTCAGACAATTAATAACACTTATATAGTTCGTATCCAGAGAGTTCAAGTTTAAACAAAAGAATAAAGGCTTGGGCACAATTACAAAAGACTTACATAGGTCAATTCACCGACAGCTTATATGGAACTGACAATGTTTATATTCCAATAGTTTTCGTTCAAACAGCAATAAACCAGTACTGGTCGAAACCGTGTCCAATGGAACCAGAAGAGTATACTGTGGAGAGATTTAAAAGGGAGGATTTTTTATTCTTGAAAAGATTCTGAAAAACAACAGCTACGCTTTGGAAGTTCATTAAAAAGTTTGGAATATGTAAAGGCGCAACTGCTAAGAAGTCTGTCTTCATTCAACTCAATTTCAAAAGTGATAATATTTTAGGAGTAGTTAATCGAAGGTTGAATACCTCACTAGCGAGAAAGTATCCTGCTAGCTATGTTAGTTCTCATTTGCGTTCAGAAATAAAAAGCTATCTTCTCAGTGTCCTCTAGCTTAGATCCTAGACCTGTAGCTCAATGCTCACTGGGCTTGCCTAGTAATTTGGGTAATCCTAGATTAGATCTGTAGTGGGATCGTTGGTGTATTGAACTTAATAGCTGCAACACGTTTACTGATCCAAACTTCTCTTTGATATATTACAAAAATCCCTAGTGAGACATCTAGAAGACGGAAGAAATGAGCACAAGCAGCTCAGTGGTGATAACTCTGTCTGCAGTACTGGTTAAACGAGGGTTCATATGCCAGAGGAGGCGTCAGTTCCTTTAAGTTTTGCAGATACGCTTTGTTGATGAGTGCCAACAAGAATGAAACCTGGGTAGTTCATGGCTTCCTGATGATTGTTTCAAATGTCTTAACACATTTTCGCTTAGTTTATTTTGCTTTTCACCTTCTTCGTCGTTATTTATAACATCAAAGATATGGTATAACTCTGTTTGTCGCTTGTTTCTGTAATTGGAGTTGAACTCACCACATTGTTACCCAATTTATTAGTTATTCGTCACTTTATACAACTCTTGTCTTTACTACATGGCTCTTTTGTCATTGTGCCCAAGCTTTTATTCTCTTGTTTAAACTTGAACTCTCTGGGTACGAACTTTATAAGTGTAATTAATTTTCTGAGTACTATTTATTAATTTTGGGGTCTTCTTTGACGAACTGATATTATGTGAAATCTGGAAGTATGTTAAAATTGTTCTGTTCGTAACAGTCAGTAATTTCTTTTTGTCTGTATGCCTCTGATGAGAAGCCGACGAAATAAACAATGATATTATCATCGTATTCTGCACGAGTCACTGTTGTTCTTGCTTTATTCAAAATATAATGCACTGTATTGTATGTAAAAGGGTAGTAACTCAGTGATTCAAGCAGGCCCACGACGACTATGGATGACACAGATATTCTCAAACTTTAAATCGAATGTTTCCAAGCACACATTCCCAATGCTTTTCAACACCAAGCAAGTAGGAAGGTTAACATTTATACCTAAGGATACATCTGATAAATTTACGAAGTTACTTCTTAGCCTGTGTACAATTTCTGTGGCATATAAAACCAATAATGCTTAAGATGCACTTATGTAACTTCGATCAATATAATTTGATCAGGTTCTGATGCGTACAATAGCTGTCTCATTGATCTAACCATACTCAAGTTGTGTTTTCCAAACCATTGATAAGACAGAGGTACATAGTGACTTGCGAATTCCATATTGTGTATTTATATGAATACACTTTAATTGGGGGGGGGGGGTGGGGAATAGGTATAATTACTGAAAAAGCAAGCATACAGGCACCATTTAATCAATTCTGATATAAACCACGACTATTTAGACATAGTATTTATCGTATATCTATCGACAGTAATGTACTTCCAAAGTAGGAATGCATAGAAATATGTTCCCTTTGACTTACAGAATATCAGGTTAAGTGTTGACCTAGCCTTATTCTCAGACGCTGTATGAAAATGTCTACTGCACAGTGTGTAACGACCAAAACCGACATACTGTAGTCTGAATGCAGAAAAAACAATCCCTGCTTTCTACAGTACAGCTGACTAACCCTTCTTTGATTAACACGCAATACAGAAGTTTCCCAATGATAGTAAAACGGTAGTTATTTGTTATAAAATCTCCTGTATTAATAATATTCCCTTGAGTTCCGAGTGGAACATAGGGCTTCAACAACGCATCTCCACTTTATTCTATTTTCTGCTATGCTATTCAGCCGGCTGACACTACGATTCCCTATAATCTCTCATCTACTCCTCCCTTTAACTCACACCATTTTCTTCATATCACCATCAAACCCACGACACGCTGCACACTTACCATTAAGATTCTAATCGATTGATGGCCCACATTTTGCGTGGTGTCATTTGACAGACTCCTCAGTGTAGGTACAATCAGTCCATCTCTATTTCCTCCCAAATATTTGTTGAGCAGTTGGTTGTTGGCTGGTTCGTTCATTTCCAGCCAGAGTTTCTTGTTGCCGGCTGGCCATTTGATCTTCAGTATGGAGACAGTTAGCGAAAGTGGCAGCTGTTGATAAGAGTCTTCAGTGACCAGTTGGAAATGCTTCTCATGATGCCCACTGCAAGTTTCTGACCCATACAGAAGCACTGACTGACTGACTTCACTGACATTTGTGTTGAAAATCCGAATCATGTTGGTTTGCTGAGTCGAAATGCAGAAGATTTACAAACTTGTTTCATATTGACAAAGGCGGACCTTGCGTTGCCGATTCTGGCTGACTTTGACATCTTCATCTGTTGCGGCTGCCTGTGGTTGAAACGATGCTGTAGCC